CTGAATAAATATGGTTAGGATTCCATGGTAACTCTCCTAGTGATTTCAGTCATGAGAGCATATGTTGTTTCCCTTTCAGGGCAACAGGGATTTTAAACTGCTTTACTCTCAATGGGTTGTGTCTCCTATTAAGCCCTTTATATACTACTAGGGAGCAAAGCTCGTTGTGGGTGGAGACAACGGGCCCCTAGACAGGTAGAGTGGGTGGGTGAGGAAAGAGAGCTGGGGAAAGAAAGGAAGAGAGCGAGAGAGGAAGGAAGGAGAATGAAACAGAGTGAGAGAAAGTGGGGGGGGGAGAGATAAAGGAGGGAAGGAAGAAGGGGGGAGGGGGGCTGCAAAAGATCCTCCCGTCCATCCGGCTTCCCAGGTGGGGCAGAGGGGGGGGGCTAAGAAAGCTTCCTCCATCTGTCCGGCTGCCCGGGCGGGTTGGCGAGGGGGATGAGTGGGGGAGGGATAGAGAGGGGGGGAAAGAGAGAGAAAAGAAGGAAGGGAGAAGGGGGGAGGCAGGAGGGGCCGCAGAAGATCCTCCCATCCATCCAGCTTCCCAGGTGGGCAAGAGAAGCGGCACGGGTGGGTGGGGCGTAAGAAAGCCTCCTCTGTCTGTCCGGGTTTCCGGGCAGGTTGGCGAGGTGGGGTGGGGTGGGGAAGGGAAATTGGGCCGCAGTGTGGGGTGCATTGCCAGCGCGCCCTCAGACACAGCGCTCGCCTCCCAGCTGGGCAACACGGCCAATGGAAGCTGGGGAAGCTTCTGACGGACAGCGCAAGCTTCCAAACACTGCGTCTGAGGTGGGACTTAGGCGACATGGCCAGTGGAAGCTGGGGAAGCCTTTGACGGACAGTTCAGCCGTCAAAACACTGTTGGTGCGCATTTTCTCTCCGCTGCGTGACTCTGCGTCTTATTCAATTATATATAAGGGAGAGATTACACAGGATATTGCATGGAGTCTGTTACTCCTTGCAGGGTACTGGAAAGCATGTATGCCATAAAATTATTCATTTAAAAAAATCCATGTGTTGCTTACAACATAAGTAAATTTGCACTGGTTCCTAAAGTGGGCAATACCGCCCCTTCAGGGGTGCTGGAACGATCCAGGTGCAGATCCACAAACTGCATCTTTTTGTCCACTTCTTGAAGGTAGATGTCTGGGGGAGGACACTTTTTTTTCCTGAAAAGGGGGCGGTAAGCCAAATAAATTTGGGAACCTATGAAGGTAACTCATTCAGTAGTGCTGAGAGAGCCCTGTTTCTGTTTACCATCCCCTCACATCTGGGGATCAGAATCTTAACTGGTGAGCACAACAGTATGGAAGGAAATAGCCCTTCTGGTTTTATATTGTAAGCAAATGAGAGTGATGGAAGATTTCCCCCCCCCCCCCCCTACAAAAAAAC